CCATAAACCAGGGTGTAGAGCAACACGCCCAGAGCCCAGCTGTCCACCTGGCACCAAACACAGCAGCAGGTCACATTCTGGACTCAACCATTGAACAGGCCAACAACCATTGAACAAAGAATTCAGACAGACATTTCGTTCTGCAACTTCACAAGACTTCGGTGTGAGGCCAGTCTAGGAAGGAATGGCTGAAAGCCAGTTATAATCTCGTTATATGAAAAATCATTATCTTTCCTAGCTGGTGTGTTTGCACACTGGGTTAGGAAACAATTGTTAACCATTTCAACTATATCAAATTCATCATCTATGTTATTCATCACAGTATCCCGATTTCTGGGTGGAAAATTGAAATCTCCCAGTAACATGACATCACCTTCATTGCATCATACAGAAAATTACTTGTGCTCATGTGTTGGATTGTAGCACACACCTATTAAGACCTTAGCTTTTTATATTCCAGTTCAACTCGCAGAGATCCTAAGCTGTACCCTGTAGTTTCGGTTCTGTAGATTTCAGGTTATTTACTGTATATAGCTTCCCCATCTTTTCTGTCTTGCCTCTCTTTCTGAAAAAAAAAATCACTCTTTATTGAGATCTATGATCTCTGGCTGTGTTTGGTGCTGGGAGGCCACCAAAACCTGGAAGATCTGAATATTAATGATTATTTTCCCCACTGGGAAATGGGTCAGGCTATCCAGTGCATAGCGAGGCATAGATTCTTTACTTATCACTCTTAAGGGGAGCTACAGTAGGTGTCAGAACTAGTTTTTAGCAAATATGTCATTACTAAGTCAAGCACAGGTACAACGGGTGTTACATAGTTTTTGCTTGGTCTTGCTGAAGTGTGGGATTTTCCTAAGACTGTGTGTAATTGTGTAGTTTTGTTACGTCTGTATAGCCAAGTTCCCTGTTCCACTGCATAATGTTCCATTATTACCTATACTGCTCGTTTTCTTGCACCACCTTAGTGTATCGGTTGTGTTGTGCATGTATAATTATTACAAAGTGTTTTGTCCCCTAGAACCGTGGTTCTCAAAGTGTGGTACCTGCAGCGCCCCCAGGTGGTACACCAGATGACCCTGGAAATCTGTTGTGTGCACTGAAAAATTGGGACGGGTTTTCAGATTTTCTATTTTAATAAAATTAGTTTCTGTCAAATATGCAGCCTACGTACTTAGCTACAACGATACAGCACACGCTAATACTTGAGTGGACACAAGAGCTACTATGTAATTCTATACCATTGTATAGGAATGCGTGCTACGAACGTAAGTGACCCGTTGTATTAAAAGTAGTTATCTTTAGCAAATAGGGAGGTAGCTGCGTGATTTTGGAACACTGCCAATCTTGTGAGCACAGGAAAGCATGATAGATAACAGAAAAATATTTAACTGTTCTAGGTTAATTTGAGAAAAAAACACCGATCGTCTCCCGTGTTTCGCTCCCATGCACATAAAATAAAAACTTCTTTTAACTTGAAACGGGGAAAAATGCAAGCTTGCGGATTGCTAAAGCAGGTAAGCCCCACACTATTTGTGAAGAACTTTGTTTACTGTCGG